GAAAAGATGGTGAAGGTACCAAAAACGATTAAAGTGACTACGTCTGGCTTTTTCAGTAGCAGTATAGACCATAATACCTAAGCTAATTAACATAACATAACCAGTAGCACCGGGACCAGTGGCGAAGTTAAGTTGAAGCCACATGACGAAACCACCATTTTGAGCTTTAGCGAGTTCGTAAAAGTTGACCCAATGAGAAACGGTGTGAACAACAGTGAAGAAAGCGAGAGACCAACCGATAGCTTTGTGAAATTCAATGTTCTCATCAAAAGGGATAATACCATTTAGGGGAGTAGCACGAAGCACAGAAATTAAGTTTCTACAAACAGGGAATAAAATCATAGCAGCATCAACGTGTAAGACCAAGGCAGCGGAACGAGCAGTTATAAATGTAAAGCCAAAAGCTTGTCGTGCATTTGAAAGATTATCGCTAAAAAAGAAATTGAGAAAGGCCATGCTAAACACGAGAGCATGAAGAAATATCCAAGTGCCAAAAAAAATGGCACGAGCACCTACATAAGTGATCAATATATAAATATTAGTATAAATATAAATATTACCGGTAGTAAAAATAAAAAAAAATATATATATATATACATATATATATATTAACATAATAAAATTACCTTCATTAATCATCCATGATTGAAATTTTTCAATCAAGGTAACGGGTTTTTTGACAGTTACACTTGAATTAAAACCACTAGTGGGATCAAACTTATCAAGTTTTGGTATTTGTTTTACGGAATCGCCTCTTGCAAGTTTTCTAACAGCAGGACCTGGTACAACATTCTTTGTTGAATTATACCTATGAAGGGCGACTTCTTCAGGATATAATATATTTTCGGGAGAACTAGTAATATCAGTTGTAAAACTTTCTCTATTTGTCTCATATTCAGAAATATATCTACTATCTCCTTTGTACGGATTATACCCCGGAGCAGAAGTTTCTAAATTTCTAATGTTACTCATTTTTATTAAAGGTGGTTTTTTTTGGGTTTGGATTTTTTTTTTTTACAAGGTTATTTTATTTTGGAGTGCTCAACAAAATTTTGGATAAAATTTACAAAGCTCGGCCAGCGAGAGAACGAGAGAGAGAAAGAGAGACCTCAATATCGTAAAGTTTAGGGAAAGGGTTTTATGATTTTAATAAAAAAGAAAATGAGTGAATAGAGAATTTAGAAAAATGAGAACAAGGTAGTCATAATAAATTATAATAGCAACCACTCATATTCTTTGACAAACGGGTTAGATTGTACGTATAAACGAAGAAGGATGGCAACATTATTACTAAATAAGGTCGATATAGATCAGGAGAATACATACAACGTTTTAAATAACCATAACACATTAAGTGCACCAGTAAACCAAATGGGGCATTTTTTAATAAAAAAAAAAACCCTCCTTGTATTTAAATGACCCGCGGATCGGTTTTAGGATATTAGTCCCCGGAAAGTATAACAAAATTTCGCCGATGTTATGGCAAGTTTTTTTTATATAAATCTAATATTAGAGAACCAATCATTTGTGAGCATTTTTTAGTCGATTAAATAAAATACCAATAAAAATTAAAAAGGGCGAAAC